ATAAGCGTAGTTTACTGTAGATCAATACATCTTCAGCAACCCATGCTAGTCCTAAGATGCGTTAGCAGGATCCGGTGGTCAGGCTCGCTGACTGCATATCATCGTATCCCAATTTCGTAGATCGATGCTCATGATGTCATCACTTGTTTGTCTGGTCCAGGGAGACCGCCTCCGTGGTCTAGTGGTAGAGCGTCCGCCCGGAGAGCGGAAGGTCCGGGGTTCGATCCCCGGCCGCGTCATACCAAAAGACGTTAAAAGATGGTACTGGTTGTAACCCTGTCTGGCGCTCGGCATTAAGGGGCTAAAACAAGGACTGGTCGGCTCAGAGTCAGTATACTGTGTCTGAGTGGGGTATTCATGTTAAACTGCGGCATGGTATCTCAGTGAGCTAGCACTATAAATCGGCATCAGTCCGGACTAGTACAAGCAGCCACACACACACGCGTGCATGCACGTCGCTATATAAGTGCAATAATCTTGGACCCGACGTTAAACCCAATTTCACCTCACCTCATCTGGTGCGGCGTGCCATGCTATGTGTCCTTAAGTTTAGATAAAGTTCAGTTCAGTTCAACTGAAAATATGCATTGAAGTACGCTCCCATGAAAAATACATGTTTCCTGGTGTATTTCACACGAAGTTGTGAAATGTAACAGACGTAATTAATAGCCTTGACATTTTGCCTTATATTTCGCTCTCAGCGCTGTGCATTTAATCTAATTCTCTTGTCCCTTCAAAGCTACGTACATTTATATGAATGTACACAGCCATCGTATACATGGTATATCACATCACGTGACGGCACGTGGCCAAGTGCACAGCGCACAGGTCACAAAGCAGGTAACGTTGGTCGCGAAGGCTCGTGACATCAATCCTTGCACGGCCGGCGGTGTTCGGAAGCTTGAGTGAGTGGGTGTGGTTTTACGCCGCTTTAAGAAATATTCCAGCAATATCGCTGCGGGGGACACCAGACATGGGCTTCACACATTGTACCCATGTCGGGAATCGAACCCGGGTTTTCGGCGTGACGAGCGAACGCTTTAACCACTAGGCTACCTGACCGCCCCTGTTCGGCAGCTTGACTCCTGATGTTTTCTAGGGCTTCGGTCCTCCTTTCACACTGAGGCAGCAATATAGTTTTCATAATCTGGAATGAGAAAGTTGCACTATAATGTGAGTGAGTATGGTTTTACGCCGCTTTTAGCATTATTTCATCAATATTACGGCGGGGGGCACCAGAAATGGGCTTCAAACTTTGTACCCATGTGGGAAGATCCAGCAATATTCTAGCTATATGACGGCAGTCTGTAAATAATCGAGTCTGGCCCAGACAATCCAGTGATTGACATCATGAACATATTTTGTTTGTTTGTTGTTTAGCACCGCACTCAGTAATATTCCAGCTATATGACGGTGGAGATCCGGGGTAAAATAGGTCTTCAGCAACCCGGGTTTGCTGTACAAGGCGACTATGCCTGTCGCTTGTCGTAAAAGGCGACTAACGGGATCGGGTGGTCAGGCTTGCTGACTTGGTTGATACATGTCATCGATCCCAATTGCGTGGATCGATGCTCACGATGCCAATCACTAGATTATCGCACGATGTCGCATCGATATCACTGTTCATTATAAGATAAAGTACATATATACAATGTGTGTAGTTTCGCGAGTGTCCGTTATTCTTCCTCACCGAGGTTAAGATAATGTGATGCGTGTTATATGAATCGAAACCTCGGTTAGCGGAAAACGCCGAATACCTCAAACTGTTCCGATTTTTTTTAGCATTTTTGTAATTAACAATCGTGATTAAAAAAAAAAATAACATAAATCAGCCTGAATTCTAACAGGGTCAAACAAAATGTAGAAAAGCTAAGATTTAGTGAAGATAAATGTCTTTCTTGTTAGAAATCACGTGACAGATACAAGCTCGGTCACATGACCCCAACTCTCTTATCTTATTGGTCCAGCTGTTGGCACACATACCACACTAGTCACAAAGACGTATCCAGTCCATCAGACGGATTATAATCTCATGGTCCTAAAGTGGTTAAAAAAAGAAAGCAAATTAATTTTCCGCAAATAACACGTTCGTTTAACTCTCTTACATTACCGAAGCTAGGGTAACCAACCCTCATAAATATTCATCAGATGTGCCCTGGGGCGGGAGGTCACTGGGGCAGTCCTGTAATGAGGTTTGTCAATCTTCCTGAAAATACTGTCATAAAATAAAGCAAAGCGATAAGGCAATCAGTTAAAAACTGCACATCCTCAGGGAATCCACAGCAGACGTATTTCAAAATTAACACATTGTTTATAGTTTCAACCGTCGTATGGCAGGATGATGATGATGATGATGATGATGTGTTGTGTGTCAGGCAACAAACAAACACTTTTTTATGTAAATTGTGCGAGTTGCGGGTGCTGCCGGTAGAGCAGGACCTGCTTACCCTTTTCGCGAACACCTGGTGTCATCACTGATTTTCATTAAAACAATCATATAGTTTTCAACGCTATTTTGCCTTTTACACCAAAATGGAACTGTCACGGTGGATAATCAAGTCTGATTATTCTCTGCGGTAGAAGTTTTATATTTATCATCCAAAACTGGCTCCCACAGGAGATATCGCTTGGGTAAGATCAAGCGATAATCTACATTGTAAATATCGCTGCAATGAAATTGCATCACAATGCTTTGCAGACCATTGAGATGTCATTGCTACTGAAGCAGTTAGCAGTACATTTTACACTTAAGGCACTGCTTATACTGTCTACAACAAAAGTTGGAAGAATGATGGTGGATGATAAATAAAATCTCACCCTCGTGTCTTTTGATATCAAATATATCAACACTCGTTGATATATTTGATATCAAAAGGCACTCGGGTGAGATTCTCTATATATTTGTATATTTATTTTTTAAATATATATAAACAATATTCTATCTTTGGGAGGATGCTTACAACACGCCGATAGTGAATGTTTACAGTACCGTCAGACAGGGAAAACCCCACGAGGGCCACTTGAAAGGTTCATACCGCACACCGCCTCCGTGGTCTAGTGGTAGAGCGTCCGCCCGGAGAGCGGAAGGTCCGGGGTTCGATCCCCGGCCGCGTCATACCAAAAGACGTTAAAAGATGGTACTTGTTGTTACCCTGTCTGGCGCTCGGCATTAAGGGGCTTAAACAAGGACTGGTCGGCTCGGAGTCAGTATACTGTGTCTGAGTGGAGTATTCATGTTAAACTGCAGCATGGTATCTCAGTGAGCTAACACTATAAATCGACATCAGTCCGGACTAGTACAAGCAGCCACACAAACACACACACACGTACATGCACGTCGCTATATAAGTGCAATAATCTTGGACGCGACGTTAAACCCCATTTCACCTCACCTCACCTCACCTCACCTCACCTCACCTCACCTCATGCCGCACAATGCCCCTCCACCAGTAGCAACTATAACACTTGACCTTGGCTTCGTCTTGTCCAGGGACGACATTAGTGCTGCTTGTTCTTCCAGTAATGTCTGTGACACTTGATACTGAAGCCATTTCCCACATCGATCTCAGTGTTCAGTGTTGTATCTACCATCTGGGGTTAGGGTAGTCCAGTGGTTGGCGTATTGTCTCATAAAACAGTGCTTCCGGGGCCTATGATAGGACAGCCTTGCTTGATACAGCTACACGATTGCTTCTGCTGATTTGTAGGGGTAGCTATTAAGTTTACCAGTATTACACATTTCCTAGCAATTCAGATACACTGCCGGACAAAAGGAATATACACTTGAAGATTGGTTTCGACCAGATAATTACAAACCTTATCAAAACGTTACTGAACTTCTCTTCTGTGTGGATAGGATCCCTCACTCGGACTGACTCTGATTCCACCAGTCCTTGTATTATCCCCTTTATCCGGGGCGCAAGGCAGGGTAACAACAAGTACCATCTTACGTACGTGTGCGTGTGTGTCTGTCTCTCTGTGTGTCCCTGTCTCTCTCTTTCTCTGTCTATCTCTGTGTCTCTGTCTCTCTGTCTCTCTCTCTCTCTCTCTCTGTGGCAGTTTGTACTAGTATCGTAACGTTTAATCCTCTTAATCCGGGGCGCAAGGCAGGGTAACAACAAGTACCATCTTACGTACGTGTGCGTGTGTGTGTATGTGTCTGTCTCTCTGTCCCTGTCTCTCTGTCTCTGTCAAGGTCTCTCTCTCTCTCTCTCCCTCTTTCTTTCTCTCTCTCTGTCTCTCTGTGGCAGCTTGTACTAGTATCGTAACGATATGGCTGAATTATTACCGATGTGAAATTAAATGATAACCCAATCACGCTTGTACTTGTCCGATCTAATGCCGGTTTTCTCGTGCTTGTCCACTGAGACACCACACAGTTTAACATGGACACCCAACTCAGACACAGACGAAGAGCAACGGGTACTTGTGGTCATATTCCTAACTGTATATTCGTGTCGGGATGCAAAGGTTGTGGGTTTGTGTTCTATTCGAGTGTGAGGACCGTACCAGCCCCCGCGGGTGTCATCCAAATGGGCAGCTTGACACATATTTTCAGACAAAATAATAGAACATATATTCGAGAACACACTGTTTTTACAGCAGTACCGGTAGGACATGATCGTTCACAGCAATACCTCGTTCACTCTAAGTGAGTGAGTGAGTCGGGTTTAACGCCGCTTTTAACAGTATTCCAGTTATATCACGGCGTGTCAGCTTGATGTAGGAGGTAAGCCCGAAGTGATGCAGGTCTCAGACGTTTACCACTTCGGTGAAACCCACGAGCACGGGTATTGTGCTGACAAACCTAGAAACATAATCGGGGCGAACCGGGATTCGAACCCACAATCACAGGTTTCTGGCGTCTCCAAGGGACGCAACTCTGCACAGCGAATCGCGGCGCCTTAGACGATTGGGCCACCCGTGCCCCCCACTCTAAGACATATATAGCCTAAGATATGAGTAATGATTCTTTTTCATTCCATGTTTATTTTTCTCAGGTTGGTGTTTGCTGTGGGAACGCTGATGATGACCTTCACGGGTGCAGGTGAAAGACAACGTCCATTATATTTGTTGTTATTGTTGTTGTTGTTGTTGTTGTTGTTGTTGAGTGAAAATGAAGCGTTCGCTCGTCACGCTGAATGCCCGGGTTCGATTCCCTACATGGGTACAATGCGTGAAGCCAATGTGTACAGTCCCCCGCCGTAATGTGGCTGGAATATTGCGGCGTAAAAACCAAACTCACTCACTCATGGACGATATATCAAGTTATCGGAAAACCCCACCGCCGCTAAGGATTGTGCTTGGTCCGAACAGTTGCATCGTTTTAGTCGACTGTTGAGAACTCAGTGCAAGGTCATTATTTGTTACTGAATATACTTAGTCCGGACGTAGATCTAAGAGTGAGTGAGTATGGTTTAACGCCGCTTTTAGCAATATTCCAGCAATATCACGGCGGGGGACACCAGAAATGGGCTTCACACATTGTACCCATGTCGGGAATCGAACCCGGGTCTTCGGCGTGACGAGCGAATGCTTTAACCACTAGGCTACCCGACCGCCCCGTAGATCTAAGAGATCCACCACCTGCCCCCGCATGTCCCTTCGTTACACGGCCATGTTTGTCTTGCTTCTTGGGCATAAACCTATAAGTTACTAAGCTCCTACATAACATGTTGTCATAGCTGTATGGCTGAAATATATGCCGATACGACGTCACATCTACGTCACTCACTCCATATGCTATGTGACCCGTGAAGATCCGGGGTAGAATAGGTCTTCAGCAACCCATGCCTGCCGTAAACGGCGACTATGCTTGTCGTAAGTGGCGACAAACGGGATCGAGTGGTCAGAGTTGCTGACTTGGTTTATGCATGTCATCGTATCCCAATTGCGTGGATCGATGCTCATGATGTCAACCACTGGTCCAGACTCGATTAAGCAATATTCCAGCTATATGACGGCGGTCTGTAAATAATCGAGTCTGGACCAGACAGTCCAGTGACTGACATCATGAACATCAATCCACGCAATTGGGATACAATGACATGCATCAACCAAGTCAGCAACTCTGACCACGCGATACCGTTAGTCGCCTCTTACGACAAGCATAGTTGCCGTTTACGGCAGGCATGGGTTGCTAAAGACCTATTCTACCCCGGATGTTCACGGGTCTGCTACTGATAAACTTGCAACAGGTTCTACCACCATATAACAATTAAATATTTTCAACTTATTCCCATTCATTCCAGCCTTCCCCTGGTTGATCGTCCCCGCGATGAGTCTGACCGGTGTCGCCGGCACCGCCGTCCTCCTCACCAACCTCCAGATCGCGAACTTATTCGGCCGGCGGAGACACACAGTCATGTCAGCATACGCCGGTGCTTCGGTCTCCAGTGCCCTCATCACATTTCTCATGAAGGTAGGTATCACTCCGCCCGTGTATTAGATTTCAAAACCTTCTTATGTATATGAACGATGACATTCGCATAGGGTGTACTTATCATCATACTGATAAGTTATCTAATATAAATATAATTGTAATATCAAATAACGGCTGTCAAGGGGCTGCTTGATTACGTCTGAAATGTCCCTATCAAGATCTGGGTTAGAATAGGTCTTCAGCAACCCATGCTTGTTGTCAAAAGGCGACTATGCTTGCCGTAAGAGGCGACTAACGGGTTCGAATGGTCAGACTTGCCGACTTGGTTGATGCATGTCATCGTATCCAATTGCGTAGATCGATGCTCAAGATGTCAATCACTGGATTGTCTGGTCCAGACTCGATTATTTACAGACCGCCGTTACATAGCTGGAATATTGTTGAGTGCGGCGTTAAACAAAAAACAAACAAACAAACAAGCAAAGCTATATTTATGTCATTGCTGGAACAAAGCACTTCATTATGATATAAATACCGCTGTCTTATACTCGAACAAAATATTACGTCTGTTCATCATGCAATGAGGGGATACCCGGGGTACCCGGTAGCATATGATGGTATGGTGAAAGGTAAGGTGAGGTGGTAATGGTAATGGGGTTTAACGTCGCGTCCAAGATTATTGCACTTATATAGCGACGTGCATATACGTGTGTGTGTTTGTGTGGCTGCTTGTACTAGTCCGGACTGATGCCGATTTATAGTGCTAGCCCACTGAGATACCATGCCGCAGTTTAACATGAATACCTCACTCAGACACAGTATACTGACTCCGAGCCGATCAGTCCTTGTTTTAGCCCCTTAATGCCGAGCGCCAGACAGGGTAACAACAAGTACCATCTTTTAACGTATTTTGGTATGACGCGGCCGGGGATCGAACCCCGGACCTTCCACTCTCCGGGCGGACGCTCTACCACTAAACCACGGAGGCGGTCGTATGGTGAAAGGAAACTGGGGCATTAGTATTAGTATCTTTCGTTTTATAAGACACTTATATAGATAAAGTGATGAGATTCACTGATGTACAGTAGCACATATGTTAAGAAATACACAAAATAATTACATGACACGGATTGTTCTCCTACATGTTTCAACTTTACACACACACACACACACACACACACACACACACACACACACACACACACACACTTACAGCATAGGGTCGTAATAAAGGCTTTTTGTGTTCCCTTTGAGAGACTTTACCACTTGAAAAGCACCACACACGTTGTCTAACCGAACACTAATTCTTCACATAATCATATCAGTTGATATATAACATACATGGATACCGTGAAAAGTTTGTCTCACTTGTTGTAAAACATTGAATGAAACCCTGAGACAAGTAAATAATGCACGGTGTCCTTGAGTATTCAACGCAAACGATAACAGTGAAGAAAGTGTTTTAGTCGAACATAAAATATTACAAAACTGGTATTTCTAGTAAAGTTACATAAAGTTTCCAGCATTCAAATATATATAAACTGCCGGGTAAAAGAGAGTACACACCTATGTTTTGATGGTGGCTAACATGGAACAAATAGAAATGGTTATTCAATGGTGATGTGTTTGAATCGGGTATTATAGTGAGTGAGTGAGTATGGTTTTACGCCGCTTTTAGCAATATTCCAGCAATATCACGGCGAGGGACACCGGAAATTGTACCCATGTCGGGTCACACATTGTCCCCATGTCGGGAATCGATCCCGGGTCTTCGGCGTGACGAGCGAACGCTTTAACCACTAGGCTACCCGACCGCCCCGGGTATTATAGTGTCGTGCCTTAATTGGCAGTGTTTCGACAGCCTAATAACGTTTTGATAAGGTTTATAATATTTTTGCCAAGTCGTATATAAGGTATATTTCCCAAAGAAATAGTAACGAACGGGTTCCGGGGAATAACAGAATTACTGTCACCAAATTGTGTTTAGTTCCACAACCTTGACCTTTGCCGTGTAATGTTATTTAACATTTCCAGGCCATACTAATGGTTTATATAAGATGAGTTGCATCTGAGCCCCAGTTCAAGGGGGATCTGTATAATAGCCTTTCTAAGGTACTGGGTGATGACGGTTAGACCTGAATTAACGCTCTCGTCTCCTCCACATCGATCCGATGGTAATGGACGCATTTGATGACAAATTAGAACGGATGCTGCATAACTGAACGTTGTATGTTGGGGAGGTCGGCGATGTTCAACAGTTGGGACTTCATGCTTCGGTCCTAGTTGTAGTGGCGACCTAGTTGTCGTCAAAGTCGCCGTGTACCCCGTGTGACGTCAGCCGTCACCATGTTGACCTGGGTCACCGTTCCATAAAGTGAGCTAATGCTCCCGTGCTTTAACATAGACTTACGACTGTCGTAGCTATGATGCTTTAACAGAGACTTACGACTGTCGTAGCGATGATGCTTTAACATAGACTTACGACTGTCGTAGCTATTATGCTTTAACATACACTTACGACTGTCGTAGCTAACATAATTTAACAGAGGTTTACGACTGTCGTAGCTATGATGCTTTAACATAGACTTACGACTGTCGTAGCTATGATGCTTTAACATACACTTACGACTGTCGTAGCTATGATGCTTTAACATAGACTTACGACTGTCGTAGTTATGATGCTTTAACATACACTTACGACTGTCGTAGCTATGATGCTTTAACATAGATTTACGACTGTCGTAGTTATGATGCTTTAACATAGACTTATGACTGTCGTAGTTATGACGCTTTAACATAGATTTACGACTGTCGTAGTTATGATGCTTTAACATACACTTACGACTGTCGTACCTATGATGCTTTAACATAGATTTACGACTGTCGTAGTTATGATGCTTTAACATAGACTTACGACTGTCGTAGTTATGACGCTTTAACATACACTTACGACTGTCGTAGTTATGACGCTTTAACATACACTTACGACTGTCGTAGTTATGACGCTTTAACATACACTTACGACTGTCGTAGTTATGACGCTTTAACATACACTTACGACTGTCGTAGCTACCATGATTTAACAGAGGATTACGACTGTCTTAGCTACCATGATTTAACGTAGACTTACGACTATTCGAGCTCCCATGATTAACCGTGAACTTACGACTATCGTAGCTCCATGATTTAACGTAGTCTAACGACTGTCGTAGCTCCCATGATTTAACACTGAGTTCGACTGCCGTAGCTCCATCTTTAACACCTAGTTCGACTGCCGTAGCTCCATATTTAACACCTAGTTCGACTGTCGTAGCTACATATTTAACATAGACTTACCACTGTCGTAGCTACGATGCTTTAACATACATTAAATAGTCACTAGACAAAAGTGAAAATATTGAACATGGGAATTAATCAACTTTATATACGTTCTAGTGACGATATAATTAGGAAAATCAAGGAAAACGTTGATACACATTTTTGCAGGGATTTTCACACAGGCGTGATAAGTATCTTGAGATACTGGCTTTAAACACAGCATCTGCATTCAGTACAGGGATGCCCTAGAGGGGTTTTAAGTATATTTGCTCTTCTATCACCCGATAACATTTATTTAACACGGAGGTACATGGACTTCTGGTTTAACACAACTTTCCGAACATGAAAGTATGAAAGAAAGTCAACATTCGAGAGAAAGCTCTTCAATAATGCAAGTGTGTCTGGCATAAAAGAGTGCTGGTAAGGAACAGTTCCAGGAACCGTGGAATGTTTTTATAGTGCCTACTTCTAAGATTATAGCGGCTAATGGTGGCTACTCCTGATGGCAAAGGGTAATTCAGTTAAGCTGGTCATAAGTTGTACACACTTTGTTTAGCTTTACGTCTTATCGATAGTGTCTCCAAACATGGATGACGATCAGTGACTATTCCAGCTGCTTCCAGTTGGATCTGTTCAAGTTCATCAGAGTTGTCATACGTTTGGTTGTCCCAGATTTCGGTAACGTGTTCGAGAATATGCCAGTTTAACAATGTTGAGTTTATATATGTTAAACACCTTACTGTTTTCCTATGCGATATTGTTGCAACGGTATTACGACAGTTAAAAATCTTATTGTCATACATATGCAATAGTATTACGATAGTTACAAACACTGTTGTGGTAATATTGTAATACTATTTCATTAGTTAAACACACTATTGTAATAATGTTTCAATAGTATTACGATAATTAAACACACTCTTGTAATAATGTTTCAATAGTATTACGATAATTAAACTCACTATTGTGATAATGTTGCAATAGTATTATGATAGTTAAACACACGATTGTGACAATGTTTCAATAGTATTACGATAATTAAACTCACTATTGTGATAATGTTGCAATAGTATTATGATAGTAAAACACACTCTTGTAATAATGTTTCAGTAGTATTACGATAATTAAGCACATGATTGTAACAATGTTTCAAAAGTATTTCGATAATTAAACACACTATTGTAATAATGTTTCAATAGTATTATGATAGTTAAACACACTATTGTGATAATGTTTCAATAGTATTATGATAGTTAAACACACTATTGTAATTATGTTTTATTAGTATTACGATAATTAAGCACACGATTGTGACAGTGTTTTAATAGTATTGTGATAGTTAAACACACTATTGTAATAATGTTTCAATAGTATTGTGATAGTTAAACACGCGATTGTGACAATGTTTCAATAGTTTTATGATAGTTAAACATACTATTGTGATAATGTTTCAATAGTATTATGATAGTTAAACACACTATTGTAATTATGTTTTATTAGTATTACGATAATTAAGCACACGATTGTGACAGTGTTTTAATAGTATTGTGATAGTTAAACACACTATTGTAATAATGTTTCAATAGTATTGTGATAGTTAAACACGCGATTGTGACAATGTTTCAATAGTATTATGATAGTTAAACACACTATTGTGATAATGTTTCAATAGTATTATGATAGTTAAACACACTATTGTAATTATGTTTCATTAGTATTAC